CTCTATTCAACAATGGCTTACCAGTTGCAACTACAGGCTTCTTGAACACACCGTTATCGTCACACAATTCGGAGTCAGACCTTGATTTCACATTTAGCTTATCACTAAACTTGCTCACTGATTCACAGCTCACCTTTGTATGCACCTCTTGCAAACGTGTAAAACACAACCGTGTTTGTCTTGCATCTTGCAACTTATCTGTTGAGGATGTACTACGAAACCTGTTACACTCACTAGGTCTATATGCATTACTAGACATCATGGAGCCTTCTCGATATCCACCTCTCTGAGACCCTTTCGTCATCAATGATTGCATTTTGCTCTCAGACTGCTCTATTCTAGGGGTGAGATGCAATAGACTGGCAAACTTGCTCCTAGATAGACTGATGCTATCTTTTACTAGTTTCAGGATATCATCAAACTTTGGCTCGATACCTTCATCCTCCATACGGGAGCTTATCTTCACCCACTTCCTTTGCAGTCGAGTAGGTAGGCGTCTTGCTATTACTTCTAGTATAAAACTCGAGTTGAGGTCACTCAAGCAATTCATCGAAATCAATGTATTCTTGTAAATCAGCAAATTATCCAAAAACTCAGTGAGTTCCTGGGAGTCATCCTGTAATTGACCACCACTACCCTTAACAGCCTCGAATAATTTCCCTACAATCATCGAAGGTCTTCCAAACCTTTGATGTAGTATGCTCATAGCCTCATAGTACCCCTCTTTTGGCTTCATAAACTTACAGCACTGTATAGCTCTTGAAGCAACTCCAGTGCAATACCTCATCAAATACATTAACTTCAATTCATCACTTAATGGAAAACTACTCAGCATGATCTCAAACTCCCTTACAAATTGTAAATAATCAACCGGGTTTCCATCGAAACACCGTGGTTCAAATTTAGGGAGTTTGATGTTCCTATTATCCCTGAACGGCGAAACAGTAACATCAACCATGTCATGCTTAACATCAGACACATCGTTACAATTAACAGACAAGTCACCATGACTTACTTTCCTGTTTGCATCCAAGACACTCTGTCCCTTCTTTGACCCAGGCATTGTTGAACTTGACCCAATTCCATAAAAGTTCCAGATATTGCTTGTTCAAAGAGGACTTGACCGGCACCAGGAAAGATGAACGGTGACTATCCAAAATCGTGCCAACTGTCCAAAACCGTTCAAAAACTGACGTTGTACCGTCAGAAACTGTCAGCCACGCCTCGTCAACCGTCAATGCCCAGCTCCCGCTACGCTGGGACTCACGCTGTTCCTTGAAGTTTCTCAGAAACGCTTAGTAATAACGGACGCAAAAACCAAAACACCAATTGGCGACTCGAGAATTCTTTATTATAACACCAACACATAAACAATGTTACAACTAAGGTCTATGAACAAATATTACAATAATAAATCACAATATTACTTCTGACAGTTTTGGCCTGACTTCTTTCTGAACAGCGACCGATGAGACGATGTCTGGTGTATCGATGTCTCCGCGAAAATATAGGGAAGTTGGGTTTGAGCAAACAACCATGAATTGATCGTTCAATCTTCAACTACATTGACACCAGTATTGTAAGAAGGAAGTTATATTGTTTGGCAAGTAAATTGGAGAACAGTAAAAGTCTATAAAGAATTATTTTAAACAAAAATTATCATGTACCTTTATTCGTTTTCGTTCATCTTCGTTGAACTTGTACGCGGTCGAACAATTCGCGCCTTCGAGTTGCCCACCGACTGCTACCAGTTCCAAAACGAACGTTCGCTGCCCACGTCCATTGACAGAAATGTATTTAAAATACGTTCTCTAACGACTATGCGACTTGTTGTGCATTTGAATTCCGACTTGTTGTTGAATGCCACTAGGGTTTTAGTTGGCGTCGTCTTATGTGTCGAACTCCTCAGATGCAAGATCCATGACCGCAGTCTTCCTTGTGTTTTGTTCCTCATACACCAGTAATGAATGTACGGTTTGCTGACCCTATGTTTCTTGATAATCCCATTCAATTCATATAGCCAGTAACGAAATTAAAACGCAAACTTTACAAACCCCCTCACGGAAAGCGACGAGTGGTCATCGTTCTAATGTATTCAATTTTGAAATAACCTCTTAATGCGTAATTTAAACATCGGTGAGACAATTTCATGAAACGTCTGTCCTTTGTATATTTTTCTCAATATTTTAGCTTTTCAGGCCACTAACAAATTGTCGTTGAATATGACACTAGCAACTAATGCCACTGTATCCGCGTAACTCAGTAAATGTAGCGCATTTTCATTGGGTGAAGATAAATGTTTTCTCAAATCAAACTCGCCGCACTTTCGTTTCAGTATATCTGTATAGGTAGAATTGAGGCGATTTTAATTTCCTCAGGCAGATGACTTTGTATAATGGGCCTAGAGGAATGCTGCAATCATATCAGAGGTGACGCTTGACTGTTTTTTTACTCAGCTAGAATATCTGTTGTGACATTTTGTTATTCTATCCGGGAAAGCACCTTGTGATAGCTCTGATCCTAATCTTTTCATGACACATTTTACACTAGAAATGTACTTGATCAATTATCTGAGATTTAATTCAAGGCAGATGACTATTACGAACGGAACAAAACCATTTAGTCTATATCATCCATCATTATTTTCATAATCTTCTCCATTAACGGAGGAGATTTTTCTTCTAGCTCACTCCCATTTGAATAAGCCTGTATGCAAAGTGCAACATATGTGGAGTCCTCAAAAATAAACTTATCCAATTTTTACTACTATGTAAGAAATGAACATATTGTACATTACTTTGTTTTAACCATAAACTCTGTACTTTGAACTTTACCTCGGGTTTTGAATAAATATATAGTTCTGACTCCGACTCTCCGTCTTCTCCACCGTCTCAACTGCGGTTGGTCAATTTTAATCACCTGCTTTCTATCTCAAATTTTTGCAGGAGCACCGTAGTTTCTTCCTACGTACTTTGGTCGACCTCCGGCAATGTCAACATTGGAGAATTAGTACTGGAGCAGTCTTCCCGCAGCGCCTCTGGAGTCTATTACGTTTATTGTGGATTTTGGATCTTTGTAAACCCAAGTAACGAAAGTTTAATATATTCTTCCCGTAACTAAACTGATTTGGTATTTTATTTTCTATTTGAATTCGGGTAACCAAGCTAACAGAGTAAAAGGTCCACCACACATATTTATTAGGGCACAACAGCATACGCTTTAATAATATGTGTATACAGTCAAATGTTTCCATAAAATACACGCAGAAAGATTAAATAGAGAACATGAACCAATATTCACGCATTTATATCAGTTAAATATAAGATAAATGGGGAAGATAATAAGGAAGCCCTGCAGACATATATCATGAAGCCTTTAAATAATGCTTTGTGAAGTGTACAGTGCTATAAATACTTGTAAACTTAATCACTCTGTACGGTGGTATCAATGTAGATAACTATTGCATATAAAACATTTATGGTGATACCCTTCATAACTGATAGTACTTGTCTTATCAAGAGGATAATCTAAACATTAGAAAAATGTATCATATGGAGCCACTTAGATTGACAGGTTCACTGGACCAGTAGCCTTCATTTTCATCTCTCTATCAATCTATCTATCCAACTTCTGACAGTTTTGGCCTGACTTCCCTCTGAGCAGCGACCGGTGAGACGATGACTGGTGTATCGATGTCTCCGCGAAAATATAGGGAATTTGGGTTTGGGCAGACAACCATGAATTGATCGTTCAATCTTCAACTACATTCACATGGTATGACCCTGGTCTGAAGTAACTCCACCTGCTATATCTGGTGAGTATTTGTGCTGTTTGGTTGATTCGAGATGTGCTTAGTTCGCCTTATTTGATCTAGGCAACTGCATTCGACGTGATTTTTGATTTTATTTGGCTTTCGTTGATTTGGTCTCTTTAAGAGTCGTTGTCCTTTATTGTTTTTTTCAGTCTAATAATATATCTGTGTTGTTTGTGTAACTGGATGCTTGAACATGCAATAACTGTTTGATGTACTGAGAGTGCTTAACGTACACTTCCACGAATTACGTTTAAATAATTCTTTACACAGCCTGATGTTATTACTTGTGTCCATATTGGTTGTTCAACGATATTTAAATAACCCTTGTGATTTTCATCACAAACGCTGCTCCAACTAGCGAAAGGAGAACATAACCCTTGCCGTTTTTCAAGGGTGTATTTATTAATGACGGTATGGACGACGTATTGCCGCACTTCTGTTCCTTGGAAGCCTAAATGTCTGCAGTTTAACCTGATCATCAAATGTAAACAAAGTGTCTGTAGCTCTGTTGAATGGACGAATTTTTATCAGCTATAGTGTTAACTCAGACAACGATATGCCCGTGTAAACAGACCCTAAACCACATAGACTGTTCTTAGGGGCTGAAAAAACTACGTCTAATGAAAAAATGGGGGAATCATGGATTAGCTAGACAATGTTTTTACCACTCTTGAGCTCCAAGACCTTGAAGCTCTGTGGACTTTATACAGATTCCTGGAAGCTGTAACTAAGCCGTCAAATTCTTATACGCACAAGAATGAGCTGCTCTAAAAAGAATCAAGAGAAGGTCACATGTTTAATTTCTGCATACTCAAGGGGAGAGAGACCAACAATTAAATCTGAATCACACTGAAGACAAAGGAGGGGGATATCCATTTACGAAATGACTATAGGAACAGTCCGTCCTCCCCTTCTAATCAAACCCGGATGAGGAATTTTCATTGGATTTTGAAATCCAATGAGGAACTACATAGTTGTGGAGTTCTGCTCTTACAAATAAGTCATTAACTACACTAACAGACTCCGGTAGAAGTGTTATCTGCAACTCTGGTTACTTCTCATGAAGAGGGTCCTGACAAGCAGAAAAACGTATTAGAAAGGCAAAATAATAAGTTTAGAGCCTTCGTTATCTGACCAAAAATCTGGAATCCGAGTGAAAGAAGATCGTTCTTCAACCTTGGAAACCCCGAAACCAGAGCGCGTTTTGACTCCATTGCGGTACGTTGTATGGGAAACGAAGGATTCTGTTGCGATGGGGGATTTAGTAAAATTTGTCCGGCAGCAGTTCTTTGACAACAACTGGACTAAATCGGTTGATTCAAATTCTCTCAGTGAAGAAAAACTGGAATGTATCGATACCTCATTCGCTCATATGGATGTAAAGTCCAAATTATGTTTACTCTTAGCATTCAGCAATATGAAGCCAAGCCCAGTCGAAAAGGTACGTGATGACTTCAAATGCTTCTTTCAGAGTTTATCATTATATCACCCATATGTTTTATAAGTTTTCCTTGCGTCGTAATAGTTTCGCCATCACAATAATTATTCGGTTACCCTGTCATTTTGTTTTAATAACTGTCTCTTGTTCTCTGACAGTCCTCATTTACACGTTGAAAAGGTAAATATGTGCATTCACTGCTTAAAGATTGATTGAAGTTTGGTGTTGTTTAGTGATGTTCATTAGTAAAACTTGGTCGGGTTTTGTTTTTTTTTCTGTTGTATCAGCCCATTAGTTTTATTATGGTATTCTGCATAATGAATTTTCTAACGATAATACAGGTGACAGTCGATTAGTCAGAATGTTTGTACAACTGATATAGATTGGCTTTCTCTCTGGGTTATTCCCGGTGTTTGCTGTTATTTCATCAGACCGCGTGATATGTCCTCTGTGAACTGTCATACATGACAACTGCAATATAATCAATTGGTGGACAGAATCTGTCCTTGGGATAAAGATTGTTGTCTATCACTTTTTAGTGATAAAACCACTGTGGAATATTACAGGGTAGACGACGAAGAAGCCTATCTTTACGGGTTTACACAAATCTTTACATTTGTATCAACAGTGGCCGCTTAATTAAATCACATTATGTGCTGAATCAGTAGTAATTTGTTGTTACGGCAATAGTAATAACAAGCTTAGATGAGTCAGGAGCAAAAATATAACTTAGTAACCTACAAGTATGAGATTTTGTGTGGTAGGTTATTTTTATACTCAGGTTAATGCATGCATGCTCAATGGATTCAGTCCCTTATTTAAATTTAATGGTTTGGTAGAATGATTCACTAAAAATTTTCTGACCCTCTATTAAATCTATATGACTGAAAATGCTAGGGCTACATCTTGAGCAGAATTGTTGTTTCCACGACAATCAGAGTGAAACACCCTTGTGTGTGACTGGAATGAAAGCTTCTCAAGTGAATTTTTTGTAGACAGACGAAGGGATATAGTGTTTATGCGCAAATGCTTTTGTTCTTTTTTTAGACTAAATTGTTAATGTTGTGAAACCATATTAGTTTGTTTATTAGATGCATTACACAGTGAAACAGTATTATTTACTGTTAATGTTGTAAATAATACGGATGTAGGATTAAATCCAAGTGTAATTGAAACTGAAGCCCGGCAACTAATACATTATGACTCTGTTAAATGCCCTATTTTTGATGAAATGGACTTGTAATTTTGATACGTATGCGCATTTTATGCTGCGCTTCTAAAAAGTGATGAACTAGACTAAACAGTGATTGATAGAACCAGTCACATGAAATATCGGCGACCAGGATTATAGTTCCGTACGCAGTTTCTGTTTTTAAACGGTACGTTTTGTATCCCCTGTGTAGTTTTACACATGTCAGTCCATAACACAAAATGCATCATGAAAGTCCTTTACATGTGTGACCATATAGTACTTAATTTGTATGTAGTTGTCATGTATTATTATTCCTTTGGGTTTCGAGTGAAATATAAAGCGTCAGCAGAACATCTCGCTTTCATCTTGTTCTCTGCAGTCCTCTTTAGATGGCTCAATGACTGACCATCAGCTTTCATCTCTTCACATGATCCCCATGTCTTCCCCAGACGCTCAGCTCGTTTCCTTTTCTGGTTCCAATCAAAGACTGGCCTGGCGTGTGATGTCACTCAAAGGTCTCAGCATGTGTCCGACCCATCTCCGTTCCCTTCTCTTTATTTTTTGGCAATAAGTTATTGGTGCGTTGGTTGTCAGAGTTTCTTGCCGATCCTTTGTGGCTGGTCATCTGATCTTCAATATGAAGCCAGTTAAGGCAGCCGTTCGTGAAAGTCTGCAATAACCTATTGGAAATACCTTTAGCGATGCGCCGCCTCTTAACGATATATGAGCACTGATATGGTATTAGTGTTGAAAAGCCGTATCTTTTTCTTTATGATGATTGCAACAGATTTCCACGTTGATTTCAGGTTGATGAATTTGTCTTAACTTTGCCGAACCTTGCTGGCTGTGACATTTCCATCCGTACCGCCCATCTGTACTTGAAACGATGCTGTCCACATAAGTCGAAGGAGTGACCTTTCAAATTCCTTCCGTTGACAGTGGTTGATCCCTGTTGTTGTTTGGTTATCTTTATCACCTTTGTTTTCACTTGTCTTCACTGCTTCTCCTTTGAACTTGTAGATCTTCGAGTTTTTTGCTGTCATAAGTTTCTAGCATCTCTACTCCACATCTTATTTCTTATGCAGTCTGAGTTGCCTTCTCAACTTCGAACATTTTGCCAACACCATGTCCGCATGCTTATTTCCGCTTTCATCGAAAAAAACAGCTGTCTGGCTTCCCGAAGGCTTCCACCATCTCGTGTGGTGCGAGTACTGTCTGTCTGTTTTTGACATAGAACTTTGCACCGATATGCAGCAGTTCAGATCGCCACACCACTCAGCACACAAAGCAGCAGAAGAAAGTAAAAGAAATGCATAATACAGACAGTAGACAGGGATATGAGACAAAAGGAATAGTAATAACGAAGAACAATAGTTTCATTGGAAATTATAAGTCACAAGGAGTGGATGCATGTGCGATGTCATTGAGAACGATTTTGGGCCATATCACCAATTATCTCCACCCATCATTGGGTTTTACCATCCCGAAGACAGACAGAGACAGAAGACCCCAACCAGGAAGTCTACACCTTCCTACGTGGCTGGCTGGCTTAAACTAACTATTGCGGATTTCATCGACTGATGAGGCCGTGTTTCGGTGTGACCACCACTAGCTCTTTTCCAGCCTGGTCTTATGTTAGTCAACATTTCCCGTCGAAGAAGGCGAAGGCTAGACAGGTATGCGTAACACATATCCTAACCATCTAAGTCGATGTAATTTGACAGCCTTGTCTATTGATTTCCCCTCCTGACCTTGCACTCGACTCCAAACCTTAGTATTGCTTACCCTGCTATACCACTTCAAACAGGAGATAGAACGCAGACATCTATGACCAAAGACAGCTAGCCTTTTCATGTCTTCCACTTTCAATGACCCTGGTGATGACTAGTGGTGTCCGTTGAGAATGTCCATTATCCCCTTTTCTATTCAACTTCATCATGGATGTACTAATGGACTTAACCATAAGTGACTTCAGAGACTCAGGGATTGACTTGCTACCAGGAAATAATCTCTTTGACTTAGAATATGCTGACAATATAGTCCTTCTAGGTGAGGACGCTGAAAAAATGTAGAGTTTTCTAAACACCTTGAGCTGCAATCTACGAATGTTTGTCATGCGATTCGCTCCCACCAAATGCAAAATGATGTTACAGGACTGGACTACACCGACTCCTAGATTAGAAATAGGGAGTGAAGTGGTAGAGCACGTTGACCGCTTCACTTTTTTGGGAAGTACCATCAACCCCAACGGGTTGATCTCTGATGAAATCTGAGCACGGATATAGGGGGCTCGTTTCGCATTTGCCAGTTTACGCCGTCTCTGGCGTAGACGTGATATCCGGTTGGCTTCGACCAAAAGGCGTGTGTACTGCTCATCAGTCCGCTCCGTCCTCCTTTATGGCTAGTTGTGAGACCTGGCCACTGAGAGTGGAAGACATGAAAAGATTAGCTGTCTTTGATCATAGGTGCCTGCGTTCTATCTCCCGTGTGAAGTGGCATAATAAGGCAAGCAATATTGAGGTTAGGCTTCGGTCGAGTTGTAGGTAAGGAGGAGAAATCAATCGACGAAGTTGTGAAGTTACATAGACTGAGATGGTTAGGACATGTGTTATGCATGCATGTCTAGCCATCGCCTTCATTGACGGGCAATGTTAGCGGATATAGGGCCAGGTTGGAAAAAAGCTAGCGGAGGTCAAACAAAAACATGGCACCAGTCAATGAAATCTACAACAGTTAGTCTAAGCCACGTAGGAAGGTGTAGACTTCCTGGTTGGGGTCCTCGGGACGGTAAAAACCAATGGTTGGAAACAATTGGTGACATGGCTCAAAATCGTTCTCAATGGAGCAGATGTATCCACTCCTTGTGACTTATGATTTCAAATAAAACTGTTTTGTTCTTCGTTATTACTATGCCTTTTGTCTCATATCCCTGTTTACTGTCTCTATTATGCTTTTCTTGTACTTTCTTCTCTTGATTTGTGTGCTACATGGAGTGTGGCGACCTGAACTGGTGCACATCGGTGCAAAGTTCTATGTCGAAAACAGACATACAACAGACAGACTTTCAATGACCATGTCTCCCTCACAGCCATGAAGGAGGACAGAGCGAACTGCTGAACAGTACACACGTCCTTTGGTCGACACTCGGATATGATGTCTGCTCCAGAAATGGTGTAAGTGGGCATATGCCAAACAAGCTTTCTGTATTCGTGTTAAGATTTCGTCGGCAATCAACCTGTGGGCATTGGCTGATGAAACTCCCCAAATAAGTGAAGTGGTCAGCATACCCCACCAACTACTTCACTACCTATCTCTAAGTTATGAGTCAATGTAGTCCAGTCCTGTAGCATCATCTTACATTTGACGGGGGGTTAGTCGCTTACTAGGCATTTGAAGATTGCTGCTCAAGGTGTTCAGAAAACTCAGTATTTTGTCAGCGTCTTCACCTAGTTGGGAGGACTATATCATCTGCATATTCTACGTCAACGAAATTATCCCCTGGTAGCAAGTCAATCCCTGAGTCTCTGAAGTGAGTTAGGGTTAAGTCCATTAGTACGTCTGTGATGAAATTGAATAGAAATGGGGATATTAGGCATCCCTGACGGACACTATTAGTTGTCACCCTTTACAGTCAAGCATCGTCAGATTGCTTCTCGGTCGGCAGAATCGAATGGCGCCTTTAGGTCAAGAAATATAACGATTGTCGGACGCCTGTGATGAGTATGCCTACGTTCCAGAATCTGTCGGAGGGTGAAGATGTGATCAATACACCCTCTTCCTGGCCTAAAGCCTGCCTGGTTCTATCGTGTTTGTGCCTCACTGATGCGATTACGGTTATTCCCATTTCACAAAATCAGAGATAACAGTAATCTGGATGCTTTGTTTAATGATCGAATGGGTACCAGCTGCTTGTTCATTATATGGATATTTATTGTCGAAAATAGTTCCACATTCGCTTGTATGCTAGTCTTTATTAGTAAACAAGCAAAAGTTTAATTCAGTTATTATTCCGTAAGCCAATTTAGGTTGGTGTTAGATGATTAGGCTTATGAATCACACTAAGGTTAGTGTACATGAAATAGATTACCAGTTGTCTAATCCCAATATATCACACAATGCTAGATATTTAGTAGGACAAAATACGTGATTCAAAAGTTTTTAATACCTTTTAAACTGTTATTGAACCTCCCGTATCTCTATAACTAACACTAACCAGTCTTATATCCAGATGCATCCTCTTTCAAATACAGCATTGGGAAGATTTGTAACCACTGTAGACAATATTCACATAAAATAATACAATTAATCACTGTTAGAAACATATTTGCAGGCTTTAATGTATACGTCATCAATTGGTTTTGGTATTTTTTCTGGGTGACAGCAAACCAGTTATTGTTGGAGTTATCTAGTGCATATACGAAACTCCTTGATAAACACAACCCGTACTAATATTTTTTGTCATATTTCACGGTCCATATTGTTCTATTGTTTTGTGTGATGTGTTTTTCAGTGCATACACTATATCAAGTTTCGTTGACGACTGCGAAAACTTTTCGATGTAATTACTCCCACTTTTACTAGGATGATATATGACATATAGGACAGTATTGCACAATCCTTCCTACTTGAGTATAAAACATGGAGTTTATCAATTCTCTACTTGTCGAGTACTATCAACGCATATTTTAATTGTTTACTTTAGAGCATTTTGTAAACTACTAATAGTATAAGTAAAGCAATAGTTTTTCAAGTTTGTTGTATTAGGTCGTAAGACGACTCTAGTCTTGTAATTAATGTTAGTCAGCCTTTTATTACGAGTATCTACTCCTATTTTATATATATGTATTTTTTCCATTCATTCTATCCTGCACAGATCAATAAACACATAGAAAGCATATTTCTTCAAGCATTGGATGAAGAAAATAATCTTGTTAAAGCTGTTGCTACAATTTTGCACAGCAAACAAACTCTCAACTACCTTAATTTTGATATTTCTCCAACAAATGAAGCCTTTGGCAAGAACATTGATAAACTACTGAAGAGTGCGAATAGCTGGAGTATAGTAGAAACTCCTTTATTAGCTGAATACTTGGGTAGTAATGTTCTCGATACATTTCTGAGTGTAAAAAAGAGTGATTCATCTGAAAAAGAGCCGAATGAATGTGGTTTCCGGCGACGAGGAAAACTGGAATCAGAACATTTGAAAGAGACCTACCTTGAAAAACTAAAAGACGAGTGTCAACGAAGACGTGTTCACGTGCCAATACCAGGTAGAAGTTTTGCTCGTCAAGATGAAACAGAAGAGTCGATCACTTCTGAAGAAGTCAACAATTCAGGCAATTCAACGAATGTATCACAGTCGGATTCTACTTCATCTAAGCGAAAAAGCACTTTCCCGCGTATATCTGATCGTAATTCTGCCAGGCTAGAGTCTAAGCGATCTCCAGTATGGTCACGGAATAATTTAAATAAAGTTGGGAATAATGGTGAAAATAAGCCTATGTCTATAAGTGATAGAATCAACAATAGGAGTTCTGCTATGTCAGCAGTTAGGAAGCCTTCAGGAATAAAACTGTTGGAATTTGATGAATTACCTGCTTTCGGTCCGAAAGCTAAACAGCTACGTAAAGGTTAGTTGAGATGTTTGGTTATTTTTTTAAAATTTATTCTTTTCTAACAGTAATTCACTGCAATGCGGGTGAATAAAGTTTTTTGTTTTCGAATACCTGGAAAATAGCTTAGCCCGTACAACTTATTTTGGCTTTTGTTTTATTTACTTGTTGGACTATGCCGAGGCCAATCTAACTGAATGTTTTCGACATAGAATTTTGCACAAAAGTACACCATTTTGAGTTGCCACACTCCGCGTATCACACAAAGGAAGACAAGAGAGAAAGAAAAGGAGATTCAAAAGATCGATAATAAGCATTCAGTTGTGGGAGAAAGAATGGTAACATGGAAAACCATAGGGTTTTAATAGATATGAGAGATCACAATAAGTGAATGAATTTTTAGCCATTGAAAATGATTTTGAACTATATCATCACTAGTCGCTAGTCATTGGTCGGTTAGCATTACGGGGACCAACCCAACCAGGCAATCTACATCTTCTTACGTGACTGGCTCAAACTAACTGTTAAATATTTTATGGAATGACTCCAGGTTTTGGTTTGACCAGCCCTAACTCTTTTCCAACCTAATCCTGACATTGCCCATCGAAGAAGGCGATGGTTAGACATGTGTAACACCTAACACTGGAGATAGAATGCGGACATTTATGATCAAAGACAACTGGCCTTCTCATGTCTTCCACTTTCAATGGCCATGTCTTACAACCATAAAGGAGGGTGCAGCAACCTACTGCACAGTACATACTCCCTTTGGTCGACAGACGGATATCACGTCTACGCCAGAGAGATGGTGTAAGTTGGGGAATGCCAGTCTGCAGGCTGTGTTCGAGGAGTACCCGTGGTGATTGTGATATGAATGAGTGTAGAGTTCTCCATGGATAAGTCCGTCATAAATAGGACGGTAAAGTATGGGTTAAACAATGTTCACTGTTTTTATCTATCCTATCTGCTGTACAGATCGTAGACTTACTTTAATTCAACCTACATCAGTTTGATCAGTCGAGAGGTATGTTTTATTAACTTCACAAATGGTGGAACTCTTGACCGTAGTATAGGGATTTAATAGTCGTTATTGAGTTGAAGTGTTATGGCACCAATATGAATATAAGTTCATTCACGCTCTATCGGATTAGATTTAAATTAAATTTTTTCAGAAATAATCTTTATTCAAGTTTTGGTTCGCTAACTCACCGATGACGCTATGTCGTGAATAGGCAGAAGTTGGAATTCATGGACTGGCCATTGAATCGGCTTCCAGTGGCTTAATGGTCTATAAGCTTACCTTCAAACCGAAAGGTCCAGAGTTCGAACTCCAATTGGTGGGTGCGTACTGACGAAGAGTCCCAAACTAGGACGAAACGCCCGTCCAGTACTTTTGCGCTGGTTTCCCAATGGTTCTCTGACCGATGTCAGCTCATGATGAAATCCTGTAAATAATCTTTATTTTGTTTTAATTCTTAATAGTATTCATCAATGAAGCAGTACACTATTAAAACTATTACTATTATCTAATTTTTTGTTTTGTTATATAGAAAAGGAACGTGAAGAAAGATTAAAATTGAAACAAGAGAAAGAAGAACGTGCACGTGAAATGAAAGCTGCTCGTGAAGCTTCTAAACTTGCTCGCCAGTCTGAAAGACAAGCTCTACTAGAAGCTCGTAAACAAAATATGTTCAATCCATCCTTATGGTCTGTTAATAATCATGATGAATTTTCAGAAAATATTAGAACTGGAGGAATACAAGGAGTTGGCGGTGTCGGTAGCGGTGTTGGCGGAAGTGGTGATGGTATGCTGCCAGTAGTATGCCGTACATCAGAATTTATGAATTTTAATTCCTCATCTATTTCGGAAAACAGACAATCTTTTACTGTTTTATCGAAAAATTTCGTTGCAAATTCACAACAAAGTATTAGTAATCGTGTACAGTATCCTGGTAATTTTGTAAATTATACATCTATGATGAACTTGCCAAATCGTCTTATATCTCCAAAAATGAATACTGATTCAAAGCCAGTGATTCATCATCCACTTTTGTCCGCATCTGCTAATACTAATTCTGGTAATTATGTTGAATATGCAGATGACGAAGACGAAGAAGACGATGATGATGATGATGACGACGACGATTATGATATGATGCAGAATCCTGAATCTGGAACGTCATGCTCAATAGGATTCACTAACAACTTGTAAGTTTCACTTGTAGTAGACGTGTATTCTGCTATTTGATTAATTCCACACTTTTTATTTTACAATTCTGATCACAAATTGATATCATTTGCAAAACTATTGGGAAATCAGTAGGGTGTAACAGTCACCTGTTTCGTCCTTGTTTGGGACTCTTCAGCGACGTATGCGTCCGTGATCATCCCACCACTGGGGATGGAATCCAGGACATTCAGGTTACAAGATGAACTTTTGTATAGCGTTCAGCCACTGAATCCAGTGGCCATCTCATCAATCCTAACTTCTGTCATTCTCATTTTTTTGACTATTCTGTATTTCGTCATAAGCTGACATTAGTTAGAGAACCATTGGAAAACCAACCAGGGAGTACTGGACGTCTGTTTCGTTTTAGTTTGGGACTCTTCAGCAGCACACACCCACCACTAGGGTTCGAACCCAGGACCTTCTGGTTACAAGGCGAGCTATCTCGTATACCATTAGCCACTGGGACTCGATCCAATGGCCAACCCATGAATTCTAACTTCTGCCAATTCACGACATAGCACAACCCCTAGCCAATGTCTTCGGCAAGTATTTGTCCTCACACCCGACGTACTGCATCCTACCGGTCACGATTTCTCACTAGAACTCCAGGTAACTGCCTACCTGGATAGGACAGAAGTTAGAATTCATGGACCGTTGGATCGGGTCCCAGTGACTGAGTGGCATACGAGCCAGCTTGTCTTGTAACCAGAAGGTCCCGGGTTCGAACCCCGGTGGGTACGTACTACGAAGAGCCCCAAACTAGGATGAAACAGCTGTCCAGTACTCCCTGGTTGGTTTTCCAATGGTTCTCTAACTAATGTCAGCTCATGACGAAATCCTGTAACCAATCAAATCCCTACAAACCAACACTCGAATATTCTGTACTTATTTATTGCTTTTTTTAGCAATTCAAAGTTAAATAGTGCACATACAAGTTCTTAAATTATTGAGAATTGTAAGGAAACAAACATTTTCCCTGTATTCTTTTACTCGCATACACACACTGAAGTTTATGATAGGAGTGATTTTTTTTTGGTGGGGGGGGGGGGAACGATTCACATGATTTACACGCCGTATAATAACTTAGTGGTGAATTTAAATCGTGCTTTGCACATCCATGCATTATTTCATGGTAGTACACTTGGAAACATCAAACAAACAAAAAATATAAGCGATCAGGAATGTAAGGCTACCTCAAAAATGAGTATGCGATAGAAGGCCATCTAACGAGAATTGGTGGTTTCAGAATTTCGAAGATGGTAATTAACGAATACCTTTTCATCGTTATGAATGATTTTCAGCGACTTCATAGAAGTATTACAACGACCCCCCGGGTGAACCCCATCGCGGTAACCTATATTCCCCTATGTGATTCATAACAACCACCAATAATTTCATGAACCGATCCCGTGTTTGTGTTTAACCGTTTTACTTTTCTAGATATATATTCACCTGTTGCAGAACGCGTTGTTTGACCGTTTGTAATACATCTTAGACTGCTCAGTTGTTGAAGATGTATAGCCTCATTAATTGATTTATTTGAGAAAAATCTAAGTGCTCCTAATCTCACTACCATTTACTATTTTGTGCTCCACCATAAGCGAACAGTAGGACGGAAATACTTATGGTTAAAAAAGCTACAATATTCTTATGTCTTTTAGTTTCACAGGAGTAAAGTAGGCGTGGGTCAAAATGCAGCCGCACAGTATACACACTGAATAATCTATCATTATCACTAACTTCAATGTATCATGAAGTTTTCAGTCTGAGTATAAAGTCAATAGACTTGATAAATCAAGAAAGACCAAATCTGCAGTACTAAAATGATATCATCCTATTTCACAGGTTCTCATCATCTGCAAACTATTTGAATTTACAGTGGATATGAAAAAGAATGATAATAACATGCTTCAATGTTCGAATGGTAGTAGAGGAAACATTATAAAACAACCAACACATCCGAAGTGTCAGCATTACAATATTTAGTTTAAATTACCACTTATCAATTTATATGCTTTCAAATTAGAAAAGGAGGCAGGGTGAAGACGGAGTACAGAAAAATTCAATAAACGATGTTAACTCACAAAGTTTGAAACTGCACACCACCGCATGCTGAGTCCCGGCCGATAACTTCTACCTTGCCGTGGTGGTCGGGCTGAATACCGCAATGACCCAACAAGCTTAAATGACTGGGACTCTGTCCCTGAAGGTCCTACCATGTCAGGAAGGTTTTCTGGATAGCGGTTAAACTAAAAGCAGTTACCATGGGGTACATAGGCTCCAGTATCCAATCGGATCGAATGGCGTATGAACCCATATGGGTCACCGGAAACCATGGGAATGCAGCTCCTGACGCTTTTCCACTGCCTTGCGGATTAGACTCCAAGTGAAAGGTTCGGGGGGTGGTCCCTTAATAAAACCACCTGCTTCCGTCTGGGCACCCGGGCAGTATCTCAGCCCTCGCACAATGAATGAAATAAAGCAACAAACTCTCATTGAAACTCATCGCGCGCTATTAATGATTGCATGCTGAGTAAGCGATTCTAGACTGGGTAAGTACACCGTTGAAGTCATCTCCAATCGCGTTTACACCTTTACATGTACTTGCTGCCACAAGTACATCGAGAGGACAGAGAGAGAGGCTTCTATCTGGTTTTCAGAGCATATCCTAAGAAAATTATGCCTAAAAGGAAGCGGATGCTCTCAATTTGGAATTACCGGATACCTTGTGAATATGACTTACATCGAGATGTCCAGATCCTTGAAAATATTAAATATACAAAGGATAGCAAATTTACTGGCATCTAATGAAGCGATTGCAATCAAATGTTTCAAGCCAAACTTATGTGTACAAAAAGAGAATGGGATCAATCTCTGACTCCCTTGGTAGCTGGATTTTCATTGAATTGATTGATCATCCATATTAGTGATTTCAGTTCACTGAGCGAATTTCAGTTTAATGAACCATAACCTTCTTGACTTGCTTTGTAAACTTATAAACTAACACTGTTTATCTGATTTTCTATACTCTGTCTTCTCCTCCCCCCACCTGCAGTGCCTGCGTTCTATCTCCCGTGTGAAGTGGAATAGTAGGGTAAGCAATATTGAGGTCAGGCTTCGGTCGAGTGCTAGGTAAGGAGGGGAAATCAATCGATGAGGCTGTGAAGCCACATCGACTGAGATGGTTAGGACTTGTGTTACGCTTGACTAGCCATCACCTTCTTCGACGAGCAATGTTGGCTGACATAGGGTCAGGCTGGAAAAGAGCTAGCGGAGGTCAAACCAAAACATGGCACCAGTCAATCAAATCCACAACAGTTAGTTTAAACCGGCCAACCACGTAGGGAACCGTAGACTTCCGGGTTGGGTTCCTCGAGAAGGTAAAAACTAATGAAGGCTAGAGACAATTGGTGATATGGCTCAAAATCGTTCTCAATGACATCGCACATGCATCCACTCCTTGTGACTATTAATTTCCAATGAAACCATATTGTTCTTCGTTATTACTATTCCTTTTGTCTCATATCCCTGTCTACTGTCTGTATTATGCATTTCGTTTACTTTCTTCTGCTGCTTTGTGTGCTGAGTGAAGTGTGGTGACTTGAAGTGCTGCACATCGGTGCAAAGTTCTATGTTGAAAACAGACAGATAGACAGTCTTCCCACCATCTTTTCTACTTTGAAAGCATATAAATTGATAAGTGGTAATTTAAGCTAAATATTGTAATGCTTATATTTTGGATGTGTTTTATAATATTTCCTCTACTACCATTCAAATATTGAAGCATGTTATTATCATTCTTTTTCATATTCACTGTAAATTCAAATAGTTTGCAGCTGATGAGAACCTGTCAAATAGGATAATACCATTTTAGTGCTGTATATATGGTCTTGATTTTTTCAAAAGAGCGGTTACTGAACAAAGAATATTTTTTTCGATAACTTCCTCATCAGGTTGTACAGTTATATGTACATAATAGTGAATGAATTAATGTTATTAACAACATTTATGCTGTTTAAATAACATTGAATCAATAATAATAGTGTGAATGGATTACAGTTCTATAACATCAAGATAACCATACACTGAATATCAGACTGAGAAATTAGGAAAAATAATAATACAAATTCATGAATTTATGGTCTCTTCTGAAGGCCAGGGCAGTAGCAGTGGTTGGACTTGCTTCTTTTGCAAATAGAGTACCGGTTTTTTTCAGGCGAAATACAATAGCCTTTGCTGTTTGGAGTATGAGGTACCTGGATGTTTTTGGCAAATTATTTGGTACTCGGTAGATGATAGACAAGGATTCTTTAATGCTGGCTTTGTGGCCGGCCCGTTTGGATGAGGTGTTCTAATATCGAACTGTTGATAGTGTCTTGATTTACAGGAATTTATCAAGGCAACCGAGTGTATCAATAGACTTGATTATGTCAGCTGTAAATTGAAGATCTAGATTTAGGTCTTAGCAGTTATGAAAATGGAGCTCAAATAGCTCAGTGGTAACGTATGTGACTGCAGCACTGGGTGACGCGGGTTCAAATCTCAGAAGAGACATGAGTTCCTTCAAGGTTGTGGATACGCCAATTTGCGTCGGTGACACAGCGGTTAGGACGCTCGCTGACCATGCACATGGTCCGGGGTTCGATCACCCGCCGACGCACTTCTTTACCTCGCTCTCTAAGCCATAAATAATGCTGGTAAAGAGGAAAGGTTGGGCATGAGTCTAGCAACCCCATCCTGTAAAAATTAACACTGCTACAGAAACTTCAAGCCACTAGCTTGGAGCCCTATGTCCCACTAGGAATGTGAAGGAAAAAAAATTATGAAAATGTAACATGTAAATGTTTTGCATTTTTTAATTGTTATCGCACGTTAAGAAAATTATATGTAGGGTTCTGTAATTATTTGTTGCATGTTTGCTTCATAAAAAAGGTTATAATAAGAAGAATTGACGACAAAGTTCAATAGCTGCAATCAAGTACTCCTGAATATATATTTATCATAAATATAATCAGCCTACGCATAAGTTGTTATACGAGTTGTGTATTAACAAATTTGGTGTTTAAATCCTGTCATGCATAAAATAAAACAACTATTAGTTAAACAGAGAAACGTTAAAGTATCCTTACTGTATAATAATCGTAAATGTAACTTGGTTTGATTTCTTGTGACTGTTCTACCACTTTTCTTGAGGTACCAACAAATCTTGTCTATTGTTAATGTTCTTTACTTTGTAGTAGTTTTAAACAATCTTTTGGTGTCAATATGTCTGGTTTACAACCTGCTACTGTTTCTGCTTCTTCGTCTGCTAGAACATTTCAGTGTTCGGTTCCTGCTGTTTCACAAGCTGGTGTCTACACCTTAAGTAGTAATCAATCAGAGTCAACTGACAAATTGCCGGTCTCCAGTTTACAACAACAGGCTCAACCTGTTCAATACCTTCCTTTCAGTAATCCTTCTGTGTCTAAGTCCCCGTCGAGTACTGTGTCTATCGCACCGGCGCCTGTAAATCATATCAGACTAATTCGACCCAATGTATCGCAGTCAACAACTACTACAGGCGGAGTTATCAAAGTTGTGAACGCGCCTTCATCTGACACACCAGTTCGAATAATTTGTTTAATGGATCAAAATACTTCTAAGCCTACACAGAATGTTATTATGCAGTCGGGAAATCCGTCGAATACTGATAAGTTAAACGAAAGTATAACTCATGGGTCACATGAAAATCTTGCACTGTCATCAGAATCACCAACCTATCCTGTACCTACATCTGGTACGCAAATGTTATCACCTCAGAGATTAGTATCTATCCCTTCTGAATCGGTAAGTACATATATATATATTTCATCCTACTTATTTGGGACTCGTTAGCCGGATGTACCTGTATTCCCCAGTGAGTCGTGGTGTTCCAACTGAGGCTCGAACGCAGCCAGTACCCGTCGTTTTAAATACCAAAGTGTTAGCCACTGGACCACTTGGGTCTCGAAAGCCACCTCTTGTGTAATGAGTGTCAGTTATCATTTGTTTTTGACTCAATTTTGCTTCTTCCGTTGGTTGGGTTAAAAATAATTCGTCTTTATAAATGTGAATTATTATTATTGTTCCCTTGGGTTCCTAGTGGAACATAGGGCTTCAACTCCACGTCTCCACTTGCCACTTCTGTCTTCTGCTGCTGTACTTTTCACCTGCATCCATCTTAGTCCATACTGTTTCAACTCCTCTTCACACGATCTCCTTCATGTCACCCTTGCACTGACGTCCTACTCGCCGCTTCCCTTTCGGCCTGGTTCCACTCGAGCAATGGCCTGACGCGCGTGCGATGTCACCCAGCGGCCTCCTCAGCCATGAGTGTCCAATCCATCTCCACTTCCTGCTGAGTATTTTTTGGGCGATAGTTTCTTGTTTTGTTTGTTCTCATAGTTTCTTGTTGGTGATTCTTTCCGACCCCTCGGCCATCTGATCTTCAGTATAGATCCAGCGAAGACAGTTGTTGGTTGATGAAGGTCTGCATCAGGCTGTTGGAAATATTCTTTGTGACCCGCCCGCCAAGTTTCTGATCCGTATAGAAGAGCTGACTGACTTGACGTTTGTATTGAAAATCTGACTGAATTTTGTTGTTGATGCTGGCTGAGTGACGAAGATTTCCAGATTGGTTGTTTTAGGTTGATGAATGTGTTTCTCGCTCGCCTTCCCGATTCTCAATTTGACATCCTCATCCGTCCCCTGTAGTTGATAAATGTGAATAAAATAAGGAAATGATCAGTGGCTACTCTCCGACATTGATCTTTCAGTCCCTATCATTTGATGATTCTAACAACACAACACTTTTGTTTAGAAACAATCGTTACGTTATAGTGACCCCCAAAGTGAAGATCTGAATGGCTAGAAAGCATTAGCAACAAGGAATTCTGAGAATTAATCAACCAACAGCGTATTACCAAACAAACATGCCGGAGAAAATGAATATGGATCGGACACATGGTGAAGAAATCTCTGGGTGACGTCGCTCACCAGGCCCTCAAGTGGAACCCGAATGGTGAACGAGTTGGGCGTTTGGAGTTGACACGGAGGAGATAGCGTGTAGGAGGACATGAAAGCTTATGGGCATTTGTGAAGCCAGCTGTGCGTCGGCGGCACAGAGGTTAAGACTCTCACCGACCATTCATTTGGTTCTGGTTTCAATCCTCTGCCGACGCACACCTGATATCAATGGTTGGCCTGCAAATTTGGGCTACCGATATCGCAAAAAATACGGTGTGGAATGAAGCTGTAATCCAAAAAAATAAAGACGACTTCAGTGAACAGTATGAGGTGGAGAAATACTGCTGAGACCCCTAAATTCCGCTGGAGACCTAAGGAAATATTAATAATAATTTATCAGAAACATTTGCTATTGATGTGGAGTTGCGAAATGTAAACTTCACTTACACTGCATAGGTTTTTTCCTGGGATATACTCAGGAAATCGAAATTCATATGTCAAGTTCTGTAGTGGCTATCACGACTGATCACAGTTTTTTACATATAGAATTATATTAATAAAGATATTTTTTGATTGTTCATGAAACTAGTTGTTCAATTGTTCATGATTGGCCGAGTTTCAAAGTTGAACAACTGTACAGCACACAAAGTTAGTGAAAAGAAATTAACAAGTACTTTAACGAACAGAAATGTGAAGGAGGAATAATAGTAACATGGAAATACAGGAGTTTATTGGGTATGGGAGTGAATACGGAGTGAATAATTCTTCCCTATTAAGAATGATTTTGAGTCTTTAGTAAATCACCAGCAGTCTTAATTCATTGGTTGTTAATATTTTGAGAACGCCAACCTGGCGGTCTACACTTCCCCAAAATGGCTTGAACAAACTCTCAAAGACTTCATGGACTGATGATGGGTTCTGTTTTGATCACCCCTAACTGTTTTTCAACCCAACTTTGTGTCAGCTAACATTGTTGGATAAGGAAGGGGGTCGTTTGGTGTGCATAACATGTGTCATAGCCATCTCAATCGATACAGCTTCGTAAGTTCATCGGTTGGCTGGCGTTCCTTATGTAGCACTCTACGCAGAATCTCTATACTGCTTACCAAATTGTGCCACTTAACTTGGTAGATGGAATGCAGACATTCATGGTCGATGACAGCTATCCCTTTCGTATTTCTTGACTTTTAATGTCCATGCTCCACAAATAAATTATTGATGGACTGGTAAAGAGGTAAGATTGGACATGAGGCTAGCAACCCTATCCTGTAGAAATAATCACCACTGCTACAGAAACTTCAAGACTCTAGCTTGAATCCCTATTTTACACTGGGAAAATAAAGGAATAAAAAACAGGGATTGGAAAATAGTATTATTGCATAATATTTAACTTCTGATCACTTCATTTAAATTTATTTAAAACAAACTTTCAACTCTTGATATATAATATAAATACGCTATTCTCTTAATTTGGCTTCATTTTTATTTCAGTCCCCAGTTAAAATTATCAATAGTCCTGTCCAACCTATACGTCCTCGTTCAGACACTACAACTGGTTCATTGGTGTGTATTGCTCCTCGTCCACCGCGTATAATCCAGTTATCATCAGCTAATAATAGTATGTTTGAAAATACAGTCACTACTCAACCAATTTTGAGTTCACCAGGTGCTAATCGAATGTACTTATCAACATCAGCGTATCCTGCACAGCAACAACAACCACAGCAACAAGCAGCATCTGTTGGTGTCATAAGGCCATCAAATTCTACAATTGTACTTGATGGAAGGCCTATAGTATTTGCGTCGCCTGCAACTCGTTTAACATCACCACCAGCTGCTCCAGCTTTACGACCTCAACCAGTCCAACGGATTAGTGTGGTAGCGTCGAGACCAACAGTACAAGTGGGTTGATAATTACAATGTATATATAATATATTATAAATGTTTGTCTGTTTTCGACATAGAACTTTGCACATATGTGCGACAGTTCAAGTCGCCACACTCCATGAACCACACAAATCAAGAGAAGAAAGTAGAAGAAATGCATAATAGAGATAGTAGACAGGGATATGAGACAAAAGGAATAGTAATAACGAAGAACAATATAGTTTCATTGGAAATTATAAGTCACAAGGAGTAGATGCATCTGCACCAGCCAGCCATTGAGAACGATTTTGAGCCATATCACCAATTATCTCCAGCCTTCACTGGTTTTTACCATCCTGAAGACCCCAACCAGAAAGCCAGTCTTCACCTTCCTACGTGGCTGGCTGGCTTAAACTAACTGTTGTGGATTTGATTGACTGGTGCCATGTTTTAGTTTGACCACCACTCACTAGCTCTTTTCCAATCTGACCCTATATCACCTAACATTACCCATCGAGGAAGGTGTTGGCTAGACATGCATGCGTAACACATGTCCTAACCATCTCAGTCTATGTAACTTCACAGCCTCGTCGATTGATTTCCCCTCCTTACCTAGCATTCGACCGATACCTCACCTCAATATTACTTATCCTATTATACCATCTATCACACACGAGAGATAGAACGCAGATACCTATGATCAAAGGCAGCTAGCCAACCTTTTCGTATCTAACACTTTCAATGGCGATGTCTCTGTCACAGCCATAAAGGAGGACAGAGTGAACTGCTGAGCGGTACACACATGCTTTGATCTACAGTTGGATATCACGTCTACCAAGTCAGAAATGGAGTAAGTTGGCATATGCCAAAAAAGCCTTCTGTATCCATGCTGAGATTTCGTCAGCAATCAATCCGATAGCGTTGGTTGATGCAACTCCCCAAATAAGTGAAGTGGTCAACACGGTCTACCACTTCACTCCCTATCTCTAAGTTAGGAGTCCAGTCCTGTAGCATCATCTTATATTTGACGGGGAGCTAGTCGCATGCCAGACATTCGTAGATTGCTGCTCATGGTGTTCAGAAGACTCTGCATTTTGTCAGCGTCTTCACCTAGTTGGGAGGACTATATCATCTGCATATTCTACGTCAACGAGATTATTCCCAGGTAATAAGTCAATCCCTGAGTCGTGAGGTATTGTTGACAAGTATTCTACCTGTCAATCACCGACACACGCTCTTCTTCTATGCAATCATTGGTAATTTACTTATTGAATTCATCTTCATACAACTAGGCTTAATCATTCAGGAAGAATCTAGGACTTACTTTTTGGACACTGCTTTAATATATGCATCTAAGTATACATGTGGCAAAGTTAAACTTTAAGCACCAGTAACTGCCAATCAGCGAACGACCTTCAACCGACCAACCACACGAAAGAGGGATTTTGTTGGCGTTTCTCTCTTTATAAGAATACACTTACTGTATATATATATATATATATATATATATATATATATATATATATCCAAACCAAGTTCACTTTTAACAGTTTGAAAAAATTTGGGCATCGGGTATATGATACTCATTATAATGAAGGCTTTTGCATTTCCCAATGAATGAAAAAAATAATAAAAACAATATCGTTTTGTTTTTCATTCATTGGGAAAAAAAACCTTTATTATAATAGGGTATATTTTTCTAACATGTGACAGAAACATGTCCCAGTTTAGCATAGGAGTGTCAATAGAAAAATCACACCACACTCTGTACATATATTCATCCAAATGACTATAAATGAGATCCTTTTGATATCCATTTATATCCCTAGACCTATTTTTCAATCTCCCTCAAAATCCTTCTATAGAATTTGTGTGTTTCCCCATAATGCGATCCACAAAATCACTGGAATGGTTCACTCTGTGATGAATATATCCAAGAGATGACAGCGAGTTATAACCTTTCCATTCATCAGTATGTACAATAGATCCCTGTTTCACAAGTCTAATAACAATAGGCATTAAAGTAGTTGACTTTCTGTCTGGTGTTCTCTCCACGAATCCTTTCCTCAAGGAGGTGTCATATAAACCGATCACCCAAACATTGTTAGCTCGCTCACGACTACGGTTATATTTTTCTTCAGTAACACAGTTTCCTCCACGTGTATGGCGATACCTTCTCTGCCCAACAACGAAGTAATTCTCTCCATTTTCCATGATGCGATGTCTCTACAGTACTGGTACTAATGAACTGTTGGCACGAGGCCGTTTTCGGTTCCAGCAGCTGTGCCTCTCACCGGCTGTTTTAAAACCCAGTAGTTGCAAATATAAAATATCTGGGCTAGGTAGAGATGCGACCTAGCAAAAAAATGTTCCTATAAATATTAAAATTATCAGCTTACCTTCTCTAATACTAACTCGTCTCAAACAAACTGCACAACGATGGACACATCCATCAATCGACCTGCTAAAGCTTTTTAAACTCATGACAACACCACACGAACAAATCCTCTCCTTTCCAAGCAACTTGAAATCCAGGCAATACTGCAAGCGTAAATTCGTTAGAGCATGCATTTCAAACGAATCAAGCGCTACACAACGCTGAACTCATGTGCATGAATCTCATTGGACGATTCGAGGTCGTTCTCTGATTGGTAGTTAGTGGTGTTTGAAGTTTAATTCGGCCACATACATGTTAATTTTAACCACACCAGTGTTCATCAGATACATTTTATTGCAAATTCAGTAATAAATTAGAGAACGATCAAAATTCAGGGAGTACTGGACAGAGCTGGTTTTCAACACCACTTCAAAACACGAACTGGTTATATTAATCGATACCACTATTTTTTTTTGTGACATTCATCATCGTTTCGTTAGTTCACGTGTCGACACAGTGGTATGTCTTCTTAGACTTTATCATCTACACAACTCATAAAGAAATCAATAAAAACTAATTATAACGTCAGTTATTGCTACTAGTGAGAATACTATTATATCCCTTGTAAATCACGTGGTTGGTTATACATACTTTTTTTTCGTTATGTTACATTGTACAGCAAGCATACTCTTGATTTAATAATCAATTGATATCAAATTCGAATACTTAAAAGTCCAAGCATTTATTCTTTACAGAGTATGTAGAGAGCGGTGGAGATATTTAAGTAATACAGGCTATGTGATGATGAATATAAAAACTTGCAATCGGAGGCTGGTTCATCAATAAATTTGTGGTAAACGTATATTTGATAGGCCCAGTATGGGATATGCAATATGATATGATTGGATGTATTGTCGTGATTGGTTGTTAATTTGCATCAGTATTGATCATTTTTATTGACTGGGGATTTGATCCTTTGTGTCTTGTGGCTTATTCTCTTTATTAATTGATACATTTGATCTACAGTAGCGCCTTTTGATATCTGATTCCTATGTGTACTAAGCTTCTACGAATTCTCTAGCATGTTTAGCGTTTCCACTGTTTTAAAATTCCTACATTTTTCCAGTCAAATTGTCTGCATCCATTGACAACATGAAACAATACATGTTGGTGTCTTTTCGAAGTCAGTTTATATTCTTGGATTCGGAGTCGAAGGAGACGCAGCCGCCTTTGACCTACATATGACTCAAAATCGTTCCCAATGACAGCGGAGATGCATCCACTCCTTGTGACTTATGATTTCCAATGAAACTATATTGTTATTCGTTATTACTCTACCTTTGTCTCACACCTCTGCTACTATCTCTATTATGCATTTCTTCTACTTTGTTTTCTTGATTTGTGTGGTTCATGGAGTGTGGCGACTTGAACTGTCGCACATATGTGCAAAGTTCTATGTCGAAAACAGACAGACATAGAGTGCTTATCACAATTCATGGAATTTATTTAGTAGATAGTATTGGTCTTGTCTTCTTTTTCTGTTGGGTCTTTTGGTCAGCATACTATTTATTGAGTGTAGTGATTTTGTGTATATCTGTGCGGTTTGTGTGCTACCTCTGTGTAAACTGTTTCTTTTGTGTGTGCTGTTGTTGTTGTTGTTGTTGCTGAGTATTGTAGCCTGTGTGGATTGGTTCCTTGTGTTTGTTCTCGTGACCAAGACATGTAAGAAAGTAATGTTGTTGTTACCTGATTCTTCTTCTCATGTGAATTAAATGTCTCTTCAAACACCTTGTTGATTAATTTGTAGGTGCATTCTAAGTCATCTCGTCCAGTTATCACAAATAGATTGTGTTAACCACATAACGTATCCAGATTTTTGGTTTGATTATTTGTAGACTTGTCGTTATAACGGTAAAAATTTATTCGTTTAAAATGACCTAATACAACTGAGAGTGAGTAGACTTCAATCCTCATCTCGAAATACTCTCATACGGCCATGCATTCATAGCCCACCTCTGCCATGTAAGTCCTACTCACTGCATTCATGCGATAAGCAAGGGGAGAGGCGTTCCTCACAAAAGTGAAAAAAAGATGAATACAAACGTTTGTCGTTTACAACCGAACTGATGGACATCCAGTTTTACCTAGGGGAGTTGGAAAACCCTTATCCCAAAGCCTGTAATGTACATAGGGTCCAGAATCTGAATGGATTGTGTGATGCATGAACCTGTTTCAGTCATCAGAAACCATGGGAACATAACTCCGTAGCTCTGCACCACTGACTTGTGGATCAGACTTCAGGTAAAACGCTCTGGATGTAGGTAGACCCTTAAGACAACCATCTAGTTCGGTCTGATCGTCTGGGAAGTATCCTAGCCCTCTCACAAACTATGAGATTTTGTGTGTAGCATATCTCTTCTGTCTGTCTGTCTATTTTCGATATAAAACTTTGCACATATGTGCGGCAGTTCAAGTCGCCACACTCAATTAAATCACACAAAGCAAGGGAAGAAAGTAGAAGAAATGCATAACAGAGACAGTAAACAGGGATATGAGACAAAAGGCATAGTAATAACGAAGAACAAAACAGTTTTATTTGAAATCATAAGTCACAAGGAGTGGATACATCTGCTCCATTGAGAACGATTTTGAACCATGTCACCAATTGTTTCCAACCATTGGTTTTTACCGTCCCGAGGACCCCAACCAGGAAGTCTACATCTTCCTACGTGGCTTAGACTGACTGTTGTAGATTTCATTGACTGGTGCCATGTTTTGGTTTACCTTCCGCTAGCTCTTTTTTAGTCTGACCCTGTGTCAGCCAACATTGCCCGTCGAGGAAGGCGATGACTAGGCATATGTAACACATGTCCTAGCCATCTCAGTCTATGTAACTTCACAGCCTCGTCGATTGATTTCCCCTCCTTACCTAGCACTCGACTGACGCCTAGCCTCAATATTGCTTGCCTTATTATACCACTTCACACGGGAGATAGAACGCAGGCACCTATGATCAAAGACAGCTAATCTTTTCATGTCTTCCACTCTCAATGGCTAGGTCTCACTCGCAGCTATAAAGGAGGGCGGAGCGGACTGATGAGCAGTATCTCTTGATTGTGTTCCATCATTATTCTCCTCTTGGCGTTGTTTTTTGTGTTTATTTTGTTGATCAACTAGTCTGCAGTGAGCTGCCTGACTTTTATGTGTTTCCCCATGTTAATTGATTTCAATTGTTTCTACTTTGTTTGCTTATATCCAGTATTACTTAACTTTCTGTCTGCTTTGCTTTTTAAAAAAATGATAATCTAGTCACCAACGAATCAAACCTATATTCAAATATTACCACGGCCTACAGTGACTACAACTCAAGCCAGACCAACCAATGTAGCTGTATTGAAACCGTTGAATCAAAGCAAAATTCCTATGGATTCCACAGATTCAACATCATCATCAGCATCATCGGCGCAAATTACTCCTACCCGTCAAGTTATAGTATCGAATGCCTATAACAGCATTAATAGTGGTAATAATAACCTTAGTAGTAATATTAACAGTAATAGTAATAATAATAATGTATCAAATCCATGTACCATAGCTCCTGCATCTATTATAACCAGTCTTTCAAATTATAATTCGAATCAGCTGACTTCAGGTGTTATAATTTCACAAGGAGGAGACGTTGTACAATCTTCTCAACCGCCTTCGACGCCCATCGTTACTGGTAATATTGTTGTCAGTAGTAATACCAGTAGTAGTAATAGTAGTACTTCTACAAACTTATCATCTGTCAAAATTCAAGATGATTTATGTTTAACTGAATCACAATTGAGTGTTGTTCAAAGCTTATTTCAAGATGCAAATCGTGTTACCCGACCTGAAAAAGCGATGATTATTTCCTTTATTGCTGGCTCACGAGGTATGTTTTACTTTAGTGTTGTTTGTTTTTAAAAACTATTGTTGGTTATATTCAATAATTCAGTCAGTGTCATTTAGACATAAGGAACAACATTTTTGAGAGAACCTTGTTAAATGATTGTAATAGGGCGGGGGTGGGGGTGACATGCGCTCGGTCACTGTTTGACATTTCTCCTCCTAGCCTAGTACGGACGCTTCGACTAGCTGTAGAATCCAGGATGTGCATTTCATCTTGTTTGGGACTTATCATACTCACCACCAATCAAAATTAAGGCTTTCCTGAAAACCTCTTATTAACAGTGGTTAGGACTCTCACCGACCATTCAAATGGTCCGGGGTTCGATCGCCTGCCGACGCACACCTGATATCTATGGTCGGCCTGCAAAATTTGGGCTACCGATATCACATGCTGAAAATTCCATACCTGTACCAAAAATACAGTGTGGAATCAAGCTGTAATAAAAAAAGTGTGAAGCTAAATCACATCGAGATTGGAGGAAGCACTCTTACTCAGATTCAAGTTCCACGTCCTGAAGAAACTTGTGTACAGTAAAACAGATACATAGGCCCAGTTGAGAACCTTTTCAACCAGTTAATCGACTTACATCTCATCAATGGTGATACAAAAGATTGGCTTAGATTGATATTAATTGGTGTTTCCAACCAGTGCATTTCGTCGCCAATTCCATAATGTAGAATCTTGTCTGGAAAACATCAAGCAGCAGTAAGACGTCTGGCAGTCAATCAGAACATTGTCTTGTTATGATCGGATAAAGGCGTCGTAGTTAGCAGATGTGACTATGTCGAGGAGTCTATCCTCTTAACTACGCGTCGAAATTCAAGATTGACAGCCACAGGAAGTATACGACATATTCTATAGAAAAGATTACAAAAGCCCAGACTGCACCAATGTTTCTTCTGTCTCTTTTCATACCGAAAATAAATTCACGTTAATCCTCAGAGATCTCGGAAGCGTTGGTACTAGGCGCTGACGTGTCAACAGAGATCGAACATTTCGGTGTAGCATAATGAGTCAACGGAAAATGTATGTTAACTGCATCCGCCTACGCAAAGCCTTTGTTCTCATTTTTCTCACGACCAATATTGGGGACATAAACATTGACGTGAATTACTGTCCACCAATTTTTACTAACAGCCAGCTCTCACCACAGTAGGATTGTTTTGTCTGATTGCCAAAATCAATGTGTTGTGTATTACACTTGAGCATTTAAGTGTTTCACTTCATGAAAGAGTAAATTTACTAGTCTCAGAGAATCGTTGAAAACCAAGGTGTATTGGACAGGTGTTTCTTTCCTTTGTGGGACTCTTAAACGTCACGTGCCCATGACCCCTACTGCTAGGGATCGAACCCATAACCTTCAGACTACACGGCGAGTTCGTTGACCATTTAATAACTTCCGCCAATTCACAATATTCAGTGCGACCACTAACCGATTTCATCATCACCCGACTTGATGGGCCCTGCCAGTGATCACTTCTATAACTGAAGCCAGTTCGTAATGAAACGTGAAATCAACCAAACCCTTGCAAATCAATCTAGTGCTGAATAATGACTGACAACAGGATAATGTTACCTCAAGTTCCTTGGTTTTTAATGGTTCCCTAAGTGAAGTCAGTTCTTTATCAAACTTGGAAAAGGGGGATTCTAATTCAGTTACTGTTTTAATAGAAATAACTGCGTTGTAGCCAACCGATAACACGTGTAGAGAGGTGGATGTTTTGTGTTTTCTCGGTAGTGATGATGTCCATATGTGGTGGGTTCAACACTAGTACTCATCACCAACTACTTCTGACTCACACAGTCCACGAAAATGAAAATAGAAGACAGAGTGGTCTGCGTTGCTGAAAACAATTCAATTTTATTTTACAAAATACAATTTATACAAATATAACGTACCCCGGAATGCTAGGTATAAGGTTGAACTTCTAGGTTTTCCAATCGGATTATAATATATATTCTCCCTCAGCCCAATGGTTTTGTTTGTTTAAACTGGTTCAAACCGGTCTAAACCTGTTTTAGCTGGTTTTAACCGCCTAGGTTCATTGTAAATTGTATCTGTAAGTAAATGGTGTTAAATATTTTTTGTAAAATGACGGATTAGTATGTCAATCTTACAAAAATGTCCTCTAAATATACAACCAAGTCTTTCGTTTACAGGGTTGTGATTGATTTGAGGATTGTTTACGAATTCACCTTACTTACAGAGAACCATTGGTAACTAATAGAGAGTACTGAAGAGCTCTTTCGTCCTTGCTTGTGACTCTTGAATAACACACACACACCTATGACCCCACTGCTAGGGACCGAACCCAAAACCTCCAGGTGACAGCGAGCTCATATGCCGTGCAGCCGCTGGGATGGAATCTAATGGCCTATCAATTCCTATATTATATATATATATATATATATATATATATATATATATATATATATATATATATATATATATATATATATGGCGGTACATTCAGGATTTCTGGACCTTGGACCTAGGTTTTGTGCTTGTTAGCACTCGTCATCAAGACGTATGTGCAGCCTCGAACCTACGTCACCCAGTTCTACAGTCAGAGACGTTACTACTGAACTGATGAGTGCCAACAAACACGAAACCTAGGCCGAGCTAGGCTTCCTGCCGATTGCCTCCAACCATCTAATAACAGCAGTTGCCATATATATATATATATATATATATAGGAATTATTCTTGTGTTTCCTCAGCGGAATCTAGATCTTCAAGCCTAAGCTGGTTTTATTTTCACGGGGTGGGGTTGTGCTAGTCTAAAGCTCAGATTTTCCCTTTTTGTTGGGCTTACTACTAACCACGTGAGACTCAGGAGTGCGTCAGACAAGTGGCAATCCGGGATCACGTGAGGCGTGGTTGGCAATCATTTCGACCTCTGCAACACCAATATACATGTACTCTTATATTTATATATTTATTTGTTTGTGTATTATTATTTTAATCTCCGAAACAAAAATCTATTTGTTTTAGACAATCCACGCCCGGAAACTGGTCAAATAACTCGTATCCGTCTTAGTGAATATCGTGAACGTGTTCTCAATCAAACTACTGGCCAGTTAATGGATTTAGCTGTAGACACATATCTAACTATGGATTATTCAACTGGCAAGTATGAAAAAGTTAAATGTTATCGTACTGATACACCTGAAAATCTTGTAAATCTACCTCTTCAAAGTAATGTACAATAAAAACTGTTTTTTGTCTTATCACAGCTGCTATCTCTCTCTCTCTCTTCAGTACTTACTCATTATTTATACGTCTCTCTCTCTCTCACTGTCCCTTTTCTGTAGTCCTCGTGAGGGATCTCATCATTTATTGTTAGTATTATTATTATTATTATTACGAGTAATGTGTGTATAATCAGTTTATTGGTTAATCTTTATCCTCTTCCTGGATCAGTTTTATCCCTATCATTTATCATACATAATATAGTATATTATGAATATTTTTACTTCATACAATTATAATAATAATATTAATAATAATAATAATAATGTATATTACTTCTACTAATACTTTTGCTACTATTTTCTTGTTGTCTTCAAAGTTTGCCTTGGATAATATATACAGTAAGTGTATTCTTATAAAGAGAGAAACACCAACAAAACAGCACATTCACAGTGAGATACCAATGGAATTGTGAAAAATGTTTTAATCATCCTACATAAAATATTTAAACTATATGCGCATACATACATACAGTCAGTCAGTTGTCAAGCTGAATTGTCGGCCTAAATTTAAATTTCTGTAACTCGCCTTGTTCTCTCCCCTATCCTGTTTGATCTGTTTTATTCGTTTTGTTTTATTAATTATTTTTCAATTATTACACTTAGTGATGTGAAATTAATGAGATATAATCACCCTTAATGAGATTTTTTGAAAAAAAACACAACCCAGAGATGTGTGAGATAATAATATTAATAATAATAATAATAATACGAACAGTTCATTTTGTTAAAAATCCCTTCTCTTTATTTTAGTTGTTTGTCCTGTTTTGTGTATATATTTGTGTACATATAAGATTATTGATTCATTTATATCTCCGTCCATCTTTGTATCATCTCTCCATCCTGTCCCTCATGTCCTTATTTATTTATTTTGGAAAAATGAAATTGTATAGTTTATTAAATGTTTCTTTTTCTCATTACAGTTATGCAATGTTTATTGTGTTAATATTGTCGTGAATGTGTTCCTATATAATTTTTTTCAATTCACTGGAACATATTGAGCAGAAACACGCACGCACTCACCCACTCACTCATCCACCTACTCATTCACATGCATATCTCCCACACATACAACTTACACATACACACACAATATTAAATCTTGTAAATAAATCTGTTTTTTATCTATCGCCTGTTGTTGTTGTTTCACTTTTCTCTCTCTTTTTGTCCTTCATGAGTTTGGTGAGTGTTGTTGGCTTTGAGTGTTGTTGCTATTGTTGTTGTTGTTTTGAATACATTTCATGTCCATTTCATTTGGAAATTTTAGAAGGATAATTTGTAATTTTCCTTCATAGTTTCCTTAGGAAACTAAAATGATTCATAGCTAATTTGTGGCAGGATTTGATTTGTTTCAAAATGGATTATGGATTGATAATGTGGGTTAGGAGTACTGCACAATTGTTTCATCCTAGTTTGGGACTTCTGAGCAGTATGCATCCACTGATGGTCGAACGTGGGACCTTCTGGTCATAAGGCAGGCAGGCAGGCTTGTAGACCTTTCAGCGACTGGGAACCCTGACCAAATAGCTGGTGGTTTATCCATATATATGTATTACGAATTGTCAGATGTTACAATTGATGATGGACAGGTGGTCATTAGATTTCGTCTCATTGGATGAATGGTCTCCTTGTAGCCAGAAAGTTCTGGGTTCGAACCCCGGTGGATGCATACTGCCGAAGAGTCCCAAAATAGAGTGAAACTGGCATCCAGTACTGCCTAGTTTTCAATGGTTCTCTAACTCATGCCAATCCGTGATTAACTTTGTAACAAATATATGATCTGCTTGATACCATAAATAATGGGTGGGTAGTCAAGAAAGCAAGTATATTCGCATCAAACTGCATACTACTGATTGTATATACCACTCACCACCAACCAGTCCACCTCAAGTAGCAATTAGCCGGAAATTGAGTGGTTCGAATTGATTCAGCTCTCTGAGCTGAGACAAACCCCAGGGTACAGCTCTGAAATAACTCAGCACCGAACGAGCGAAATAAACCTGTGGTGTTTAAGATCACCTTGATTTAGCTGGCTAGCAAACACTACTGGTTGATGTGGGTGGCGTATGCAACTACTCACGTCACCAAATTAGTAGTATATATAGTTTGTTGTAAAAATGGCGATTAAAAGTGAGTGTATGCATTTAAAAAAAAACTTAAATTTAGTTAAATCTTCAATGTGCATCCGTAAAATCCTCAATGTTCATTTCATTGTTGTAGTGGGATTTCGGCACTGTGGTAGAATTTTGATTTGGTTGTGTTTTATGAGCTGTTTGATTTAATTGCTAGTTGGCATGAAACCCGAATAGCCCATCTAATATCAACAATTCACAGTGCACCGTGATGGCGAACCACTTAGCATGGCGGCCACATTGCAAACTTGACTGATAGAATTCAGTCTGCACCAAAGATAGGAATAAATACATTATACTAGTTACTGATTGCTGTCCAATCAAAAATATCCAATACTGTCGTACAGGAGGTCAGTCGCGAGCCCGAATAGCTCAGTAGTAAAGTCTCTGAGTGCAGCCACTGGATGATGCAGGTTTGAATCTCAGAAGGGACATGAGTTCCTTCTAGTTTGCAGGTACGCTCTGCTGACGAGTGCCAACTAGCAGGAAACCGATTCCCTCCAGCCATCTAATACCAATTTTCTATATGTCTGGTACAGCCTTTGCAGCACTTCTATTGCACGTGTTTGGTGTTGATTCGATAACGAAAGATTCGGTAATCAACTCTTCTGTCTCCCTAATTATATTACCTTTTAATACTTTTACTCTGTGATATTGCAGTCACTTGCGGTTCCATGAACTTGGCAATGATATACATTTATTGTCTTGGGAGGGCTAGTGAAACCTTGGTTTGTGGAGCGGGATTTCAACCCGTGACCTACTAGTTAGAAATCGAGCGCTTAGACCACCAGTGAGCCACACCACCACATCCTATCTCACCGTGGAATTACATGCAAGTGAATGCATTGCAATGGTTGACACCATATCACTGTGTGTGTGTTTAGTCGGATAAACCTGTCTAATAAGTCTAAGTTTTATTTACCTAATTTAAATATCGATAACTGAATACTGACCATTTGCTCACTACCACTACTACTTTAGTACACTGTTTGAGTCATAATTTTAGTTTGTTAGTGAAAAGAAATGATGGAAATACAGGAACAAAGTAGTTTAGTGTATGTGTGAAAATTTCGTAATGCTCTTCTTTTGCTTACTGTTTGTCGCAGGGGTAGTAGAATTTTCCAGATGCTTTGGTGGACAGGTGTTGAATCACTCCTATTGCACATATTCTCCGTTGAATGTATGTAGCGCTTTGAATGCAGAGGTCTGGTTTCAGATTCCGAATAGCTAATGCTTCAGCTATGTCCAGATAGATGGCGTATTCGAAGTCCCTTTGTACGATATTGAGGAACTCTGTGAGGCATTCATGCGGGGGTGCTCGATGTCCGGAGATGACAATTTACTTGCTCGTGTGGAGCAAAGTAAATCTGCCGTACGCAACGGCTAGTCCACAAACATATTCTGGAACACACTGTCCAGCTTGGTTAGCCAAAGGAGAAAAGAAGAATACCAACAACTCCATCCTCTAACACCTTGTCATCTCCGGACATCAAGCACCTCATGATGAATGCTTCACAGTGCTATATAGAGTTCCTCAATACCGTATAAAGGAACTTCGCATACGCCATCTGTACATAGCTGTAGCACTAGCTATTCGGGATCTGAAACTGGACATCTGTATTCAAAAGCACTACCATCATTCAACTGAGAATATGTGCAATAGAAGTGGTTCAATACCTGTCCACCCAAATATCTGGAAAATTCTACTACCCCTACGACGAACGGTAAGGAAGGCGATTATAAAAAGTTGTGTGGTTACAATTGACGATGACATGATTATCAACAATAGTAAATTATGTTCAAAATTTTGTCATCCAGTAAATAACACTGTTTCACTTTGTATAAAGTGAATTCGCATATTCTCAGATGACCCGATAAATAGGCCTTCAGTGATTAATCTTTCCCTCTACCCTGTTATATTAGATTTTAAGACTGTCATCTAATGCTATCCTATCGTGTGGTTATGTTTAAATGTATATAGTGCCAATAGTTTATCGTTGAGCTTTGTGTATCGGATCAGCTGATGAAGAATCTTAAACTAGAAAGAAACACCTGTCTAGTACTCTAGTGCTGATTTTCCATTCGTTCCTTATCTGACGTCAGCTCGTTATCAATCCTGTAACGAATCAAATCCCTACAAACCAATAAGTGAATATTTCAAAGATTCACTAAGCGCACGTTTTACAATCTAAGTATTATTTTTGTATAAATTTATGTACTACTGATTAGTTGAGATGAGTAGTGGTGTGTCACCCACGTCAACTAGTAGTGCTTGCTCTAGCCAGCCAGATGATCGAGGTGATCTAAATATGAGATGGCCGTCGATATTAGTGGTATACAAATATTACTCATCTCCACCAATCAGTAATATATAATTTAATGCAAATGTGCTAGCTGTCTTGAATACCAATATTCATGGTACCAAGCAGATCACATATTGTGCTGATGTAGTTAATTTTTTTCGTTTCCGAAGTGGGAACTGTGGTGAATTTTTACCCCTTGGACTGAGTACATTACAAATGATGAATTTGATTTGAATGTAATATTATTTTGGATTGTGCATGAATGGATTATCTATAACATCAAACATTTTCGTCTCTCACTGATAATATCTGTTGTATATCTATCTGTCTATCCCTCTATAGGCCAAAGATACAACCGCTTCAGGGTTTATTGGCCCTTTAACACAAGCTGAATATGAACAACTTTATCCGCGTAATGATAAACCTGACCTTCTGGCTGAAGTAGCCGCAGAAGAAAATGAATGGGTAGAATTTGAACGTACAGATGAAAAAGAAGCTGTTCAAGCAGGGACTGCAGCTTGGGCTCCATTGAAACCACCATTCATTGACTCACATTTCTCTATTTGGTCTCTGTCAGAATCAATAAGTGCAAGTCAATTATATCTGGGTGGAAAGTTACCTCCACCTGTAACAGCTGATTGGGGAAAGATATTACGACAAGATTATACAGCAGATGATTATGAAGAAGAAATAGATTATATGCGTGTACGAGCTGAAAATGAACTGAAATATGAAGTGGGTGAATTGTCGCCTGTACGATATGCAATTCATGTTCAGGTAGGTAATAGCTTGATTATTTGTTGACAATAATATTTATAGTACTCATCA